TGTACTGTACTGCATACTGCATGTGTACTGTACTGCATACACTGGTGAATCTGCGTTTACTTCTGATACATAAACATCAGAGCTACAGCTGTTGAACGTCTTAAGGATCAGAAATTTCTTTTTTCTTTTCTCCAGATCCCAGAACGGAAAAAACAGACACGTGGAACTAAACCTGAGACTTTATAATTCACAAAGGCTGAATGAACACACGATCTTCAGACAAGGATATGATCTACATTATACCTACAGCACGTAGCTGATGGCTAACACTGACTCCGACTACTAAACTAAAACACTGCCGTGATCAATGTTGGACGTAAATCACTGAATGACCAGCGTACTTACAGAAACACAGGAACAGTGTGTCCACACACATGGCGTACACGCTGAGGAAGCCGTGTGCAATCAGGTAGGATCCAAATATCACCGTCTGAAAACAGGAACAACTGCCTTAGAAATCCATACACCATATAAATATAAATAAAAAAAAACCTCGACAAATTACCACACTTACCACAATGGGTACCCAGGGGTAATTTAGTGACGGAACCTCCTCTTGAAGAGCTGGTATTTTGTGCGTGAAGAAGCAAAATGCCAGAGCGCCTGAAAGATATATTCATTTTATTAAATCACAAAAATTTTTCACAGCAGAAAATTTGCCCTCTGGTGAAAACTTTGAACAAATATACAAGAGATGGAAAATCATCATTAAAAATACTGTCTCGTAGTTTTAAAAAAAACATTTTGCACTAACATTTTTTATCATTTTAATTAGTTAAAACATAATATATTCTTGCTTGCTTGGAAACTTCACATTTTTATCAATATAACCTCATGGGATATTTAAAAACAAAATAGATATTAAATAAACTAGAAAGGGTTGTTATCTGTGTTTCAAATAATTTTATTCAGGTTAATGTGACTCTGACACTGAACCAATCTCCACTGGACATTTATTTAAAACACTGAAGTGAAAAAAAAAGGTCTCTGAACAAAAAAACCAAAAAAAAAACACAGTCTAAAAAGAAAGAGTAGAAACAAAAAAATATAAAATATTCACTGATATGGAGACTTTAGTTTAGCACAAGAGCTCACCACGCACTGATCGGAAACAGGAAACAGCTATTTCTGAAATATTGCAGCTCATGTCAAACTCACCTACACCTCCTGCTACGAGCAGCTTTGCCAGAAAAAGCAAAAAATCTGTCACTTTGTCCAGGACAGCCACTCTGTGGAGGAGAGACACACACACGAAAAAAAGGGACAAAACAGTGAGTTTTACCACAAGACACTGAAGGTTTCAGTACTGAAGTTCACACAGTTTTAACAAACAAATAAAAACTTTAACCTCCGTAATCACCGGCACTTTGATAAGGAACAAGAGCTGTTTTTTTTTAAATATTCACCTGCCCATTTGGTTTATTAACTCCATGAAAGAACATGAAGCGAAGACAGTATGATAAAGATCGCAAACGAGGTTTTGTATTTTTTCAGATGAATCACAGATGAATCAACTAAGTGTTTGAGGCTCAGTGGAGCAAATTTAAATAATAATAATAATAATAATAACATCAACCATCACTGACCTTATTACATTTCTCATTAAAAGTAAGAAAGCATCCTTCGAGGACGTGCAGAAGCTTTTTCCGTAAATCGCCATCTGTTAGGAAGAAGTTTGTTTCCTGTTTAGTGAAGTGGACTCGGTGCAGACAAACACAGCACTGCCATATGAACGGACCGGCAGTTGTTTCCACCAACTCTCACCATAATGTATGCATTTCTGTTGATGAACTTTATGAAGCGCTCCATGCACCAGAAGCAGCATCTGAGGCAGCAGACCAGGAACTTAGCAAAAGAGTTGCGTGAACCTGCGACAAAACAAAAACGGCAAAAGAGTTGCGTGAACCTGCGGCAAAACAAAAAAACAAAACAAAAACAAGTGTCTGAGCAACTGTGACTGTGTAAAATACACAACTATAAAACGCGACAGCGTACCTTTCAGTTTGTTACCCATGTACTCCAGAATTATTCGAATCACCTGCACCATAGCAAGGATCAGAGAACCAAAGGCCAGGGATCCTGTGTGATACCTGTGACGTCAGATGAAAAGGAAAACAGAAAAACAATAATATATTCATACAAACATTTTATTTTAAACTTTCACCTTCACTCCATAAGTATTTTCATTTGTGTAGTTACCAATACGAAACTTATTAGGATTGTGTTTCACTTAATGTAATGGCAGGGATGTCCGATAATAACTATTGTATTGTATTGTGGATATTACATTTCTGATTCAAATATCAACCAATACCGATACAGGCCTGGTAATATTTATTTATTTATCTGTACAAACCAGTGTACGAGTATGAGATTAATTAAATGAGCTGCAATGCTGCCATCTAGTGGCCTTCATTTTATTATACAGCCGTTTATCTCCAAAACTATTTTTAGGTCACACATCATTTGGT